TATATATATATAACTAAAAGTTGCAAAAAGATTAAATAAAAGATCATCAAAAGCTAAAAGTAGCTAACGGCTAGCTAACAGTATCAAAATGTTTGTAAAAATAACAAAAGCAGAATTCAGCAAAAGTCCAGCTAAAAGTTAAAAACATCAAAGTAGCTAAAATCTAACCATAACAAAAAACTAATTAAAGGCTAATAGAAAGTAGTTAACTAAAAGTAGCAAAAAGCTAGCTGGATATTGAAAGTAACAAAATGCTAGCTGAAAGTAGCAAAAAGCTACATTTAGCACCAAAAGGCAAACAGAACTGAAGCAGATTTCAAAGAGAAGATGTTTCTGAAGCAAAAGAACAGATTTAATGTTTCTGTAGAGAAAATATTTGTAAATAAAGTGAATCATTTTGAAAAGTTTAAAAGTTAGACGTTGTAGCCTCGACTCCTGACTGAGCCGAATGTTTTATTAGATGCAGGATTAGTTAGTTTGCAAACAATAAATCTGTGCCTTTGAATGTTGCTGCAGCTGATTTATTGTCTTAAATAAATGTGAACTGCCATAAACTCTCAAACTCACAACAATCTGTGTAAACAGTACGTAAAATGTAGAGTTTGTGTCCTCTGCTGGCTCCGCCCCCCTCAGCGTCTGGTGAGGATGAACATGCCGATCGCCGACGACAACACGGTTCATTTCACCTCCACGCTGATGGCTCTGATCAGAACCGCCCTGGAGATCAAGCTGGCGTCTGGTGAGAGACGAACCCAGGGTTGGTTTGTGACACCAGGCAGGGCAGCTTCACAGTGACACGTGTGTGTGTGTGTGTGTGTGTGTGTGTGTGTGTGTGTGTGTGTGTGTGTGTGTGTGTGTGTGTNTGTTGTGAAGGAAGTCAGAGCTGCGAGCCGGTAGACGGGACGCTGTCTCCGGAGGAGCAGTGTGTGTGTGTGTGTGTGTGTGTGTGTGTGTGTGTGTGTGTCTTCATCCTCAGGTGTCCTGGCTCAGCGCTTGTGTGACGTCGACCTGAAGAGGGAGATCGGCCGGGTCTGGCCCAACCTGCAGCCGAAGACCGTGGACCTGCTGGTGACGCCACATAAATGTGAGCCACTGTTTACTGACAGCTGCTTTCATCGAGTTTAACCTGACAAAAATTACACAAATAAGTAATTAGAGGCCAGAACTTCATCACCGTTAGAGCTCGTGTTGGGGATGACGCTCAGCTACTACCACTCCTCATTTTAGCTCATTAAACCGACCCAGTTAAAGACAAGTGTGTTGGCCAGTGTGGATTAGCTGAGGCAGCCATCTTGGATTATTTAAAGCAGTTGTGGCTGAAGATCTTTATTAGAGCTTTGTTCACATTTAACTAAGCACATTTTCTTCATTACAGTATTTAAGTCATTTTTTTAGGATTTGCAATTTTACCAAGGATCTTTTAAAATCCTAACTTTTACTTTTATTTTGTAACATTTAAACCATAAAAAATGATACTTTTCCTCCTTTACTTTRAATGTTAACACCTAGCTATAATTTAAATATGACCAGGGATCATTTCTTAGAGTGTACTGTAAAAGTACTTTTACTTTCCTTATTATTGTGAGCAGGTTTATGACTAATACTTAAGTACTTTTCTTATCAGTGAAATCTGTTTTTACCAAAGTCCTTTGCAGTTCATGTATATTTATTTTTACTTTATCTTTTCAAGCACTTTATATTCCTCTTCTGGTTATTGAGACATTTTGCTAACACACGGGCATAACCAAAAGCAAATCAAAAAGGAGGATTAAGATTTGTTTTTGAAGGTTTTTAATTCAAAATCAAGTCAAATATTTCCAGAATGTTCATCTGATTAATAATAAACAACATAAATGTTTTTGTTTCATTTCACAAAACATTTCCTTAAACACAGAATTTTCTGGAGAATTGTGAACCAGCTTCATGCCTTGYTTTAAGCTTTGGATCATCCTTTTTTTAAAGGAAAGACCAGTTTTTCAGTGCTGAGTGTTTTATTTCCTGCTCCTCTGGCTCCCTGTAGTGGCTGCATCCTTGAACTGCTTCTGTCTCTTTGTTCAGACAACGAGYTGACGGTGGGGAAAGTCTACGCCGCTCACATGATCTTTGACTTCTACAAACAGAACCGAGCCAAAAAACTTGAAGAGCAGAACCCGTCTGGAGGTCCTCAGGTACTCAGACTGAAGACTTTAAAGGAGACATGTCAACAAAATCTGATTTTTTTAGCCTTTAAATACATTTTGTTGAGAACTTGGAGTCTCTAGGAGRCAGAAAACTGAACAGTTACAGTACAGTTTTTGTGACTGAATTGCCAAATAAGGTCTGGACTTAACAAATACAGTTTGGTGGACTTCACTCTCCTCTGGTTCTGGGTCAGACTCTGGTTCTGGGTCAGACTCAGCTGGATGGACAAGTTTTCCCTCGTTGACATCTTTTAATTCATTTGTAAACGTTTCTGCGCAGCTATATAGTCGTAAACCCCTCATCAAACTGGARTGAACCGTCTGTGAAGCCCCTCATTTGAATTTTATGAGACAGCCTCAAAACGAGTTGACTAGAAAAGGGGCGGGGCTTGTGGAATTACAATAAGGAGGAATTCAGACTAAAACACGGCTGTTCCACTTTAAATAGATATTTTAAATTTGAAAATCAAGGATTTAAAAGCATCATATGTCTCTTTTAAGGGTTTTAGGGATGATTTTTATGTGTGTGTGTGTGTGTGTGGTGGGGGGGGTCATGACAATGTTTCTAAACCTCTAAAGCTTTGATCTGTCCCACAGAGTAAATTGGGAGCGCTCTTCCGTCCCGTGCTGCCGTTCAGTCACATTCACGCCGCCGAGCCRCCGGTGTCCAGCCCCAAAACACCGGTCCCACCAGAACCTGAGCCGGATGCAAAACCAGAAGCCCCGCCCACCAGCACCACCAGGGAAATGATGTAAGACGCAGACTGTATTTAAATCATGCTTTAATAGATATTTTCACCTAATTATTTTCTTTAGAGACACAGTTTTCTGTAAAAATGTTCATCTTATTTAAATGATGGAACTAAAAATATATTTTATATAATTATTAGAGGTGCAACGATACAGGAAGTTCACAGTTCGGTTCGATACTTTAGTCTCACGGTTCGATATTTTTTCGATACAAAAARGAGAAATTTCCATGCCCCTTTTAACTTGTAATTTATTTATATTAATTCTGAACATTTGTTTAACCTCAAAAGTCCAGTTTTTTAAATGTTGCTGAAACAGCAAGTTTCTCTGTGGATCTGTGCTCAAAAATGCAGCCTAGGTGGAGTAGTCGAACACAGATCCACTGATCCTTCAACACAGAACATCTCCAGAAGACAAGATGATAAAGTAAATTTTTAAAATCTGTATTGTTCCATACAGCACTGTTCGATACAGGTACATGTATTTTTGCACCCCTAATAATTATTTATTATATTCTTAACTCTGAGGATGATGTTGCTACCCATCGATGTGAGCGGGGTCAAAGGTCATGGTCTCTTCTCTCTAAACACAAACGTTTCAATCTGAAGGAGTTCTGGACCAGGTCCTCTGGACACCTAAGACCAAAGTGTCTCAGCGTTGTGTTTGGAGGCCAAACTTGTAAAAACACGACTGATTATTTTTTTCTTTTAATGAGGAAGTAGATTTAAAAAAACTACTTTTTTTTGTTTAAACGATATGGCTCCTTTCTGCCCCCCCAGATTAAAGCAGAGGGTCAACATCAAACACTCGCAGTCTGGAGACGTGTCTCAGGCGGCACAGAGAGCCACAGCCAGCAGGAGGCTGCAGAGAGGCCAGTCAGAGGACGTGCAGTTCTCAGTGAGGCTGCAGGTAGAAACAGAAACTYTCTGGTCCGTTTGGTTCTGACCGTCAGTGACTTTAACTCGCTCCGCTTTCTGTTCAGGAGCCGTTTGAAGCGAAGCAGGCCGAGAACGTCTCYGACTCAGAAGGATGCCCGAGCCTGGAGGGCCACGGCCGAGCAGCGTCTCTGCCCCGGCTCAACGCAGAGTACTACGTAAGCTCCGCCTCCCTGCTCTGTGCTCTGTTAGCTGTAGACTCACTGTGGAGATTCTTTACTTGGCGGGAGGATGAAACAAGCAGCTGAAGTGACTGAAAAAAAGGCTGACGGGCAGCTGAAGGAGAGAAACTGAGCTGTGTGTGTCGGCTCACATCAGCTCAGCCTGCTGACCCCGGCCTCCAGCTGTCTGATGGTTTCTGATGGTTCTACAGGAGAGGATGCTCAGAACAGAAACACACTTAATCTGATCCATCACTGTGATTTTTCTTGGATTATAAACATCAAATTATAAAAAGAACACATTCAAACTAATCCTTCATTCCTAACTCAGATTAGACTGAAGCCTCAAATTCACTAGTCCAGGTATTTTATTCAGTTAATGTACTTTATTACATTCTAACATGTTTCAAACTCAAGACCCGCAGGCCAAAAGTGGTCCCCCACATCATTTTATTTGGCTCATGATCATCAACGATGAAGGCTGTGTCCAAACTCAGAGGCTGGGTCCTCCGAAGCAGCCCCTGAATCTGAATACAGTCGTATTAACATCTTTAAATAATCTGCTTTGATGTTAGTATTGATAAACTACATCTCCCATAATCCATGTTGATTATTTTTACCCTTAAAATGACAGCATYCCACCACCAGGTGGAGCTGCACAGGGCTCAAAGTGAGATTTGCTGTGTAAAATCTCCATTTCCATGCATTTTTACCGGCTACTTTTGCTGGGAAGTGGGAATTTCCCATTTGAATCTGTAAATTTTTAATTTTTACTCAGAATTCTGACCTTTTTCCAATTCTAAAAATAAAATTGACATTAATTTTAATAAAAATCTATATTTTGCTCAGTGTCCTTTATCCTCTTGCGTACAACATCAAACTGTACTTGAAGCACATGTTGAGATACGAGTTCACTCATTCTGATTTTTCCAACATTTGATCGAAATTAGCAACAACTAAAATAATCTTAGCTTTAATCTGTGTTTGTAGAAGGCGGTGAGTAAAAAAATATCAGAGTTTTCTAAACCGATAAATTAAAAAAAACTGAATTTGAAATCTTTAAAGAGCTCAGACTGGATATAATTACAGATAATTTATGAAAAGATTGAAAACTAGTTTATTTTTTAATGAGAGTCCAGAATAGCTCCAGCCTCATCCTCCTGAAGTCTCTCTGTCGTCCCCTCTTTGTGTTTATTTTGTTCCTTACTCCGCTGCTCACTGATAATGTTTTGCCCACCTCCTCTTGTGTGTGCTGTCTGATAGCGGAGCCACCCTGGCCACGCCCCCGGGACCCACCTGGCAGTATGTACCACCTGTTGTGCCACCTCCTTTACCGCTCCTTCTGTCCTCCTCTCGTCCTCTCCTCTTTACTTCCTGCTTTGACCTCATGGCATCACACAGCTCACACAGGTTGTTTCCACAGAAACATCCAGCACACCTTTACATCCTCATTAACGACACACATCCTTGAACAGCTACCTGTATGTGTGCTCGGGGTGCGTCGCTCCAGCAGTACGGTGCCACACTTTGGTCAGGTGGTGTTTGTGTTGATGTTTGTGTCGTCACATGAACGGTGGAGACGGTACTGCTGCTCTTCTTCTTCTCTTGTTTTTTAATACTTCTCAGTTTCAGTCWTTTAACGTTGTCACTGTTTCTGCTGCTGTTCAGTCTTAAAATCTCATCTCATCTCATACTGAGTGCAAAAGCCACAAAATAAGTCATTTCTTTCTTTAATCTCCTGAGTCTTTCAGTCTTTAAGTGAAAGTTTGAAAGAACGTTTAGTTTGCATCACCATTTCTTAGTTCATTAAAGGTAAGATTTTAAGACCAAGCTAAATAAAATGTTTTATTCTTAAAGTCATGTGGTATTGTTCTCTGTAATTGCAGCAACAGACTAGACTGTGAGATAAGGACTAAAAGGAACATAATCCACCCAATATCAGCCATAAAAATTAACTTAGAAAGCATAAATCTGTGTTTGGAACCAATCTGACCCAATAAAAAACAAGTGTTTTGCATAATCTCCAAAGATCTATCATCATCTGTTAGTATTTTCACAAACTGATTGGATGAAAAAGTCCCAATCTAGCTCCAGTTCCTTATCTCACCAGTTTGGGCTGCTGGTATCTCGGCTCGTCTTCCAGGTAAGAATCAGGTGGGATGAGTGTCACCGTCCTTCAGCSGAAAGAAATAATATTTACACAAAGTGAAATTATAGCTAGAAACAAAGTATTGATCCAAGAGCAGTGGTGGGCACTAGCTTCGCATTTAGCAGTTAAGCTTTTTGGCTAACTTTGCAAACTGTTAGCGGACCCATTAGCTTCTGCTAAATTAGGTTCTGCTAAGTTTAAGTCCACAAAAAGTCCACAAT